TGCACAGTTGCGAATATCAGGCTGTGAAAACCCGAGGGATTTGGACGCTGCATTTCGATAACAATCCTTCTAGTTAAATACACTGACGTGTTCCTTGACGAGCGTTCACTGAGCGCTAACGGAATTTACTCGTACCGTTCTGTCGCGGAGTTCAGTCTAGAGCTCCACCAGCAGCTGCACGGCGGCTAGTATTGCAGGTAGAACAGCACCACCGGTTAGGCCGTTGGACTTTTGATCAAGGGGTTGCCGGTTTGAGTCTTGGGTGGTATACCACCTGGGGTTGAGTATGGCTGGGTGACGACGACCAATGAGCCAGAAATGACCATTCTAATCCCCCTTGTATTTTCTGGCAATGCTTATTTGCATGCACTAATGCATTTAAAATCACACTGTCCGCAAACGCAGAGACGATATCTATGGCCATGCAAAAAGAGGACTAGGGTCATTTGAACAGCCACACCACGAGCTTGCCATTAGTACCTGCTGCGCTCGGAGGCCTAGAAGGACAAGCCAGCGCTAAAGCTGACCGAACACAGTCCTTTAGGAAGTAGAGGTAGTTCTTGGAACTCCAGTCTCCGCAGTAGAAGAGGGTGAGTCGAGCTATTCATCTCGTCGTATATTATTATGCGTTGGGAGGTACAAGTTGCGATACCCAGCCAGGTCAGTCATTATTACAGCCACATCAAATACAAGTAAGTACAAGTAAATCGTCAGAAGCTTATTGAAGGTAACAAAGGATGAAGCCAACAAGGCAAGCAGACAGAACCAACCATTGAATTTTCGCGAGTTGTCGTGAATCAGTCGGATGTCCGTGAGAAACTCCTCACGCGTCGAGTACTCATTGGTGTTAATTTTCATGCGAATCTGGGACAGATCCATTGGGTTCTCAATCTCAGAGTAGTAGTTGGGAAAGTCCTTCTCCTTAACCGGTTGCATAAATATCTTGTAGCCGGTAACCTGGGAAAGTCCCTAGAAATAAGAAGACAAAGTACGGTCACCTTCGCACATGCTGCTATTCGACAGTCTTTGTGATATCTCGCTGTTACATTTTCTTTTAGTCACGTGTGCTCCTGTCGACCATATTTGCAAAGTTAGCCTTTTTATTTGGTATTAAGGACCTTATTTTACTACGGCGGTTAGGTAAAGTCTAAATTCTTCCTTTTAGCACATATTGTTCAGCCATTTTCTGCTGTATTACAAAAAATATCCATATTAAAAGGTATATCCCTTATACGCTTGCCCCTGCAGACCGTGTTAGACAACAAGCCGCAACGGTAAGTTATAACAGCCAGGCGCCTTGCTGGTCAAGTTTCTCAATAAGTATTTTTCTCTACACATTCTGACCTAATGGCCGTGAAGCTCCTCCACTCACCCCGGCGCGACTTTTGCCAACAAAGAAGCAGCGGTTTTTCTTACAAGAAGGCTTGTTCTAAGGCTGAGGTCGTGTTTCACCAGCTCTCACCACAGTTCTCTGTGGTTTACATCCCCGAGAGTAGGGACGCGTCGCGGGTGTAGGTATCCCCATAAGTAACCTGAAATTCCGCCTCCTCTGGTAGTCTTCTAATGCCATAAACAACAGTATGAGCGGTGGACCCGACTGTCAGAACTGTTGGCCGCTTTCTTAGGGTACGACAAAGATAGCACTTGTTTCAATTTACGGTAAGTGAGCATGCACTGCGTGTGTTGAACCCCGAAATATCTGCAGAACTTGTTCTGCGTGGCCCCGAATCCAAAGTCAGTCAAAACAGTAAGAGACGGAGAGAAGGATGACGACCAAAAAACCGCATTATCAGTTAGTTGTGTGTGAATACTTACCTGAAGCGAAAACAAAAGCCGCAGTGATAGACAGCTAGAAAACTGGTCAAAGGCAATCTGCTCGGACTAACGGTTAACGGTTCAGTCAAACTCAGTACACAGCTAAAGTTTGATCGCAAAGCGTATCGGTCAACCTATGCTACACTGCAGGCTGGCATAAAGAGGAAACAAGCCATAATCGGGCATCAAAATCCGTCCCATCCTAACTAATCCCAAGCGCCCAGTACTGTGCAGTTTTAATGATAAGAACGGAGTGTCCACTGAGTGTTTGTTGAGTCCCATTTTACTTTAACACAGACCTAGTGAAAGACCAGAGAGGTGTCGCAATATCCAATCGCTCCAGCGTTAGACGGTATGAGTGGACTAGGTTGCTGATGGACATAATACAGATGGTTGCTGTTAAGTGCAAACGAGTACGCTGTGAAGTGTCACAGACTAGTTCATATAGGTGGG